TCAACACTGCCTTGCTGCGGCATGCGTACTGACCCGCTAACGATGTATCCAAAAACTGACTGATGGAGAATCAGGTCTTGCATATTTATTCTATTTGTTCCCAGTAAATCAAAAAATATTTCGTTAGATAATAAAACATGTATTTGACCAGGTTTATAAAACTCTGGATCAGCTAAACCAATGAGTTGCAACTGCTTAACATCAGGAATGTTTATATATCTAGCAGGCGTTACGCGAGTTATTTTTGGAACAACAAAAAATTGTAAGGTACGAATAAAATCTCTAGTAGCGTTAGCGATGGTTGCTATAGCTTTTTCCTTAACACCCATAACTGTACCATTGATACCTGAAATAGAAGCGTTTATTTTTCTTTTCTTCAAATTCAATAACTCAGCACCTTCTTTAGTAATGAAATTATTTTGAGAACCGGAATCCAGCAAGGCTCTCAGCGAGATAAATTTTCCATCATTACCCTTAACGAAAATAATTGCAGTTGAAAGTAGAACTTGTTTATTAAAAGAACTGGAAATATTCAGCGCAGTACCGTTAATGGACTTTGCTTGGTTGGTTTCATTAGTGTCACTAACCTTTTGGCTGCTTGCCATTGGAGTAAATGTATCAGCATTTGGAGAAAGATTACTGCTTAATTTATTAGTCTTGTTTGTGATTTGATTCGATGTGCCATTTGCTTTATCGAAATTTTCTTCATTTCGATCAAAATGTAAGAGCGAATTGTGAAATTTCTGACATTTTCTGCATGTATTAGAACTTTTACAGTCCTTGATTGTGTGGACCGAAGATAAACAATTGAAACATAGTTTTTTTTGTCTTTACAAATTCCAAATCGTTTCTTGACTGTTAGATTTAAGAATTGCGCACATTTCAACAATAAATGATCAGCTTTACAATAAGGACAATTTTTTGAATTTTCCGAAAGTGATGTAAGAGCTTTGGTATTAAATGAACGTTTCGATTCCCCATGCGGAGGTTTGTAATGTGATAGGGTGCGAGCGTGTTCCTTCAAAAAACATGTCAGTTGTTTAACCGTTCCTATCTCGTCTTTTTAAGTGACCTTTCCCACCAACACCGAGTATTTCTATCCAACTTTTCAACTAATAAATAAACAATTAACGTGTCTGAAAATTCTTCCACCTTTTGCTCCAATGCTTCCAAGGATCGTAAACATTCATGCACCTTATCGATAAATTTTAAAAGCGACGAAGTAGAATCACTCGTTTGAGGTATAGAAATTAATTTCTTTATGATAGAATTGATCAAATCTTTTTTGTTGCAATAGCGATCAACCAACAGATTCCATGCTATGTCATAATTCGAATCTGAAATTGGAATGGACTGAATAATATTTAAAGCGTCTGCCTTACACGAACTCTTTAAATATTGCAATTTTTGCGCATTAGTTAATTTGCTATTTTTATGCACAGCTGCGGAAAATAAATCCTCAAATTCAATCCATTCTTCGATTTTCCCACTAAATATTGGAAGAGACAATTTAGGCAATTTTATATCCGAAACAATTATGTCTTTACTCGAACCGTTTTCATTTGAACAGCTATTCCTTTGAGAACGGATCTCAGAAATTTTTCTTTTAATTTTCAAATGAATTTCATCGAGATTATCTACTACATTTTCCTTTTCCTTAATGAATTCGTCAGTGTCCTTTTCTTCACAATGTGCAAATAAAGAATCGAAAATGTTACTTAATTCCTTTTTAAATTCTAATATTTTTGATTCGTATAACTCCAATAAGGAAATATCTGCTTCATCCACTGTAGAATTTACCTTATTTTCAAACTTTCTGATACTGCATTTTAAACTTTTTTTGTTAGCTTTAATCGCTTTCAATTCACTCATCATGAACAAATAAATAATTTATCACTTACCGTGATTGCAGATTTCTCGACAGCAACACCGGAAATGAACGATGACACAGTATCCAATCTTAATTGCGTAATCCACACGAAAACGAAAGCATTCCAAACACTCTATATGAAGTTATGCGTAATACAACCAAACGAAAGTATTCCAAATGTTCTAAAAAGTTAATTTTAGCAACGATATCTTTTACCTGTGGCTCGGCGGGCCATAAAGTGTTCATGCGATGCGTGCGTTGTTATACAACAATTTCAAATTAACTAGAAGTGGACTGTACTAAATATTTTATTCGACAACTTTAATCAAATGCGTGCCATCTTTCAAGCGATGACTTACTACTAACAACAACAGCAATAAAAAATAAAACTGAGTAAGCGTTTACAGGGTTGCTGTAATGAACATCTGCGCCATGCAAGGCGCCAAGAAGAGAAAAAATGACGTAATCTTACAGTTAAATAGTCTTAATGACTTAACACATACATTTGATTTGATTAACAAATTTTTTGGGTAACATAAATACACGTTTAAAATGTTTTCCATGAAGACATCCTTCCTTTCTCATAGGCAGACTGCATGACTTGTCACAATCAAATCATGTTCACCCTAAGATTTAATATCATACTCAACTCCCAACAATTCTAGATTCATATAGCATAGGTATTCCTGATGGCCAAGTTCTACCAATAAATCACTTTCAATTAAAATTCCCCAGAATATTTCAAAAAAATTTCACATGCAGTATTAGAGCCTTTTAAAATACCAGTTCTTTCAAAACTACAAAAGTTGATTGATTTATTCACACACAGATATAATGTCTTCTTTTACAAGATCAGTTATTTCAAATACAATAAATAGCAATCAACTGATATACATGACCTAACTCTGACCAAGTCATGATAAAGGCAAGCCATATAATTCAAAGACTAGTAACAACTGTTTCATCAATTCCATTCAGTTAAGACTTTCATCTCTTTATCTCTGACAACATACCCTATATTATTTCAATATATATATATATATATATGAATGACATGCTGATAACTGACTTTCAATGCAGAAGTTTTCATCAATTAAAATGCACAACATCCTAGATTTGAATTATGACTTCTGCATAGTTGACAGATTATGAATGTCATTAGTGGGTAAAAAAATTCATGATTGATTTGTGTATGTTCCTTAATATGTTAAAAGACCATAAACGTCTCATTTGTAAAATATGCCAGTAAACCTTTTATTGTACGAGGGTTAGAACTTTAATAGTGGCAACACAGCTGAAAAAACGCTACGTAACAAAACCAAAGAATATCGCGTATACCACACGTAAACTACATACCTACCTTACCTCTCAGCAAAAAGACTCGTCCTGCCTACGTCACGCGCATGCGGAGTGACGCGAAGAACGAATCCTTGTATTAGCTCGCGTTTTAAAGTAAGTGTTGTCAGTATGTTTCACGATGGGTTCCATATCAATTGACGGAAATGCAGAAATGGCTACGATACGATGCTGCCCGAACCCACCTGGAGCGCGAAGGAGATGCTTTTTTACGCCGTATCATTACGCTGGATGAGACTTGGGTCCGATCGTACCAGCCAGAACTGAAACGCCAATCAAACGAATGGCGTCATCACGGGTCACCACGACGTTCGAAATTTCGTCAGAACCCCAGCAATGTGAAAGTTATGGTGATTCTCGTGTACGGCTGTGATGGTGTCATCCTAACGCATACCGTCACTGCGCAGTATTACTGTTTATTTTTGGAGCACAATCTCCGACCAAAAAAAAAAAAAAAAAAACGGCGACACTTCTGCAGAACGCTCCTCTCATTTTGCATGACAGTGCTCGGCTGCATGCAGCGCAATGACTGATTTGTTCAAGCGATGGGGCTGGGAAGTGCTTTACCATCCACCATACTCCCCAGATCGAAGTCTTTGCGACTACGACTTAATTCCTAAGATGAAGGAACCACTTCATAGCACTCGCTTCCAAACTGTTCCTGAGATTCTTGCGGCAGTAGACCGGTCCATTCAAACTATCAACAAAACAGGCACTACTACAGGTATTCTGCGACTTCCACATCGTTGGAAACGGGTTGTACACGATGCTGGCGACTATATTGAAGGACTGTAAAACATGGTGACATGAATCACTTTTGTATTCCTTGTAAATAAATAGTTGCCACTATTAAAGTTTCAACCCTCCTATAAAGTATATATTTATTGTATTACGAGAGTTTTATGATCATAGGGAGGGGAAAAAAAATAAAAAAAACAGGGAATTAACAGGTTAAGAATTTATATTGTTCTATAGGCAATTTAAACAATTCTTTTGAAAAATAAGCTTCAATTTTCTTTAAATTTTGATACTCCAAAGATAAAAATTTGACTTTTGAGGAATACACATTATCAGAATATTACAGCTTTAATGAATGATACATGTAATGTTTCTTTCACCTATGCTGAAAAAGAATAATTTTTATATGAATTACCTTATGCATTTTATTTGAAATTATAACTATAGAGCAATTTACATGTGTAGTGGTACATAACTGAACATTTTTCCACCATTCCCCCAATTAACATTTAGAACTAAATTTGGAGATGAATTTGCACAATTTAAATTTATTTACTGTTGAAAATTATTATATTTGGGATAAAATGAAAAACCAGTAGTCTTGAACTAGGAGAGTTTGCAGCTATGAAACTATGATATATAATATTTTGTAAAATTCCTTATAAAAGTACACTTGCTTGAAACAAACAAACAAACAAACAAACAAAAAAAAAAAAAAAAAAAAAAAAAAAACTACTGCTTCCTAAAAAGTAAATTATTAAAACTCTACAGAAACCATCTTAAGAGTATAACGCATTTGAAAAAGCAGACTATATATACTGTAAAGGTTAGTTATTTTCTATTTTTTGCAAAATTTGACATATTACAAAATCTTCATATTGCATAAATATTTTTCTTATCTCAGATTCTAATTATATACATTATTGGAATTAGTGCCATTCATTGTAGGATTATATATGCAAGGTTATTAAGACTAATGTGTAGAATAAATTGGGAAAGACTACAAAAAGCAAAATATTAATAAAAGTGAAAACAATTTTTTGAAAAAGCAAATTTATTGTAACATAATACTGTTAATAAAAAAGGCAGATTCAGAAAGAACCTTGTTTTTGTTAAGTAACAAATGCAGATAAACTTATTTAAATCTTTGGAAGAAAACTGCTTTGTTAAATACATGTTTAGAGATCTTTAGAAAAAGCTGTTTAATCAGCAACAGGCTGTTCTTCATCTTCAAAATCTCCTTCATCATCAGCAGTAGCTTCTTGATATTGCTGATATTCTGAGATGAGATCATTCATGTTTGATTCTGCCTCTGTAAACTCCATTTCATCCATGCCTTCTCCTGTGTACCAATGCAAGAAAGCTTTTCGACGGAACATGGCTGTAATAAAGGAAGGTATTTTATAAACAGAAAGGTACACACATTTATGAAATGACTCTTTAAAAATGCATACATGTATTATGTGTGCATATATACAATATAAATTCATAAGAACATCTGAAATGAGGAAACTGCACATCTGATTAATTTCTTAGTAATTTTAATTTATGAAAGCATAACAAACTAAAAAATCATCATGCGGTTAATTCTTTTTAGTGATATACAAGTAATATGAATTCTGTACATATGTAAATGGCAGTTAAATTATATGTAAATTGTAGTACATGTAACATGAAAGGCCTCAAGAATGCCAAGTTTTGAAAGAAAAATAAGGCTACTTAACACTGAGGTAAATGACCTGGAAGTTTTTTAGCGAACGGGGAAAAACTATATAAAACCAGAGAGAGAACAATAGTTCTTGATCAGTTTAGCGTACCAAGAGATCACTGCACAAGCTAACACATTTGAGGTATTTTAAAATCATTTTGAGTTTAACATTCTTTACAGTTAAAAGTGATTAACTGTGCTCTATCATACTGACAAGAACTGTACGGGCATTTTTGCAAAAAGTTCTCAAACAGCAAAGTGTTTCTTTTGGGAAAATAAATTTTATCAAGCTATCATCGGTTCTGTGTGCTCAATCAGTTACAAATCCATACATACATAACAGCATTAAAGTTAAGGTTGGATTTTTCAGAATGCAAGTTTCGACTACATAAAATTAAATCTTAATTTGTAAGCAATAAAATTACAGCTCCAGACTCATCTTTTGGAACACAAGTTTTCATGCAGAAGCATTCTATTTTCTTATACTTTTAACTTACATTCAAATTTTTATTAATGAACAATTGCTTAATTATGTCTTTAAGAGTGCTTTTATTGCACATTATTTGCTTCATGCTTCAAATTTTAAAGGTAGCTATTAATCAGTTTACAATTTTAATCCGAGGTGTAGGAGTTCGAAGTTTTAACAGATGTGTTGCATTACAGCCTTCTTTTCTACAATTTAAAAATTAACCGATACTTAAAAACAGAACTAATTCTTATAACTGATATCAATATTCTGTAAAAAATGCATATTTTGCTCTTGCATGGCACATACTTCGAGTAATTTACAGTAAATAATACCTCTTCATGAACAAATCCAAGATGCCTTACCTTTTCAGAGTAAATAATAAAAATAGCTCTAAATTTCTCACATTAGAATTCTTAAAACAGTTCACACTTTTTTCCTTTTTAAAAATTATCTAAATTATTCTAATCCACGCTCATTAACTTTGTTAAAGTCACTGAAAGACAAACACCACTTTATATAAATATGAAATGATTCTTTTCCTTAACTTTAAACAGAATGCAGTTGAAAAATTATTTTGCACATTGCAAGCGGAAAAAATATGCACAAAAATTTAAATACCCTAGAGATTTCCTCCTCCAAATACTTTTTACTACATATTTACATTCTGCAAAAATTAAGCCCAAAATTTACAACAGACATCTCAAATCTCATACAATTATTAATACCAATACTTACCAGTAAATTGTTCAGATATCCTCTTAAACAATTCCTGAATTGCAGTACTGTTTCCAATGAAAGTTGCTGACATTTTCAGTCCTCGAGGAGGAATATCACATACTGCAGTTTTTACATTGTTTGGAATCCATTCTACGAAGTAACTGCTGTTTTTGTTTTGAACATTGAGCATCTGTTCATCTACTTCTTTCATACTCATTCGGCCTCTGAAAATGGTAGCAACAGTCAAGTACCTTCCATGCCTTGGATCACAAGCAGCCATCATATTTTTAGCATCAAACATCTGCTGAGTGAGTTCTGGGACAGAGAGAGCTCTGTATTGTTGGCTACCTCGAGAGGTTAGTGGAGCAAAACCAGGCATAAAGAAATGAAGTCGAGGGAAAGGTACCATGTTGACAGCAAGCTTACGGAGATCAGCATTCAGCTGACCAGGAAACCTCAAACAGGTTGTTACTCCTGACATTGTAACAGATACAAGATGGTTAAGATCTCCGTATGTTGGAGTAGTGAGTTTAAGTGTACGGAAGCAAATGTCGTACAGTGCCTCATTATCAATGCAGTATGTTTCATCAGTATTTTCTACCAACTGATGAACTGAGAGAGTTGCATTGTATGGCTCTACAACAGTATCAGAGACCTATAAAAAAACAATGAAATCTACAGTCATTCAAGCCACAAATCTACTCAATTTCATATTTTTCATAAGAGGTCATAAGTAATAACAGAAATTATATTATACAATAAATATTACTTTAAAGGTATGAAAAGTGTATTATTTTCTTTTGCTTCCCAAACAATCAGAATTTCCTGGTACACCTGTATGCACATTTCTTACTTGGCTTAAATGTCCTTACCTTTGAAATCATCAGAGAGATACATCCATTTACAGTAGAGTTTTAAATGATGAAAATATTCATATCTTTTTAATGCAGTCTTCCAGTTTAATTTTGGAAAGTTTACACTCGTTATGAAAAAATAAATCTATAAGAAGTTTAACTCGGGTACAACAAAAAAGGGTACTTGCGTATTATCCCATCGACCGGCCAAGCAGCGAGATTTAACGCCAATTATGGACTACCACTTCCTTTAGAATTCTGCAGTAAGCATTGGTGATCAGCTACCGTTGCCAAAATTTTCGCATATTTAAGTTGAAAATTTGCAATTTTTTATGTCATCTTTGACCTGCTTTGAGGGACTGGTTAATTAATTTAGAATAATTCAAGGACATAAGTTTAAACGTATTGCAACAAAAAAAGTATAATTTAAATAGGCTGTACAAGGAAGTCATGTGGAGTCCACATCATACTTTTAAGCATTTTTGCTTGGCTTTTGGAGAAAGATTCTCCACGTCTAACAATTTGTTCCATCTTTATAATAATGCAGTGGTTTAAAAAGCAATAATACTAAAGGATTTTAGCCTAAGAAACAAGTGAATGTGTAAATGTTTATTCATCCATCCATCATTGCCTATGACTGCTTTTCTCCTGTCTAAACCCAGGCTACCACTGAAAAGACACCTGCCTCATAAAACAGTCTTCAAGACTGAACAAGATATGCACAGATCATTCCAGCCTTTGCTAGAGCTTCAGTGTACTGATACATAAACTACACTCACTTCCAAAGGTTAAGCATGAAGATATAAAATGCAAAAAAATTAACAAATACTGCTTTGATCGACACAAAATTCTGCAGGAAAGTAGCATATATATTTATGCATAAAACAAAATCAATAATTATATACAGAAATGAAAACAATATCAAATTTTTGTAAGTTATCAGATAATGACATACTGGAGACTTGAACAGAATTATGAATATGAAAATAAACAGCATAAAATGAAGGAAAAAAAAAAAAAAGGAGGGAGGACATTAATAGGGTATGTGATCCCCTCTCTCATCTGTATACAAAGTTTACGCTTTGTGACCATGCTTTCAATTAGGTGGTCAACCACTGCAGAATTAAGCAATCGCCATTCTTTTTGTAGAATAGTTTCCAGCTCAATAAAAGTTGCTGGAGGTGGGAAAAGTGAAATTACAACATGGCTGAGAGCATCCCAAAGATTTTCAATGGGATTAAGGTCGGGCGAATAGGCTGGCCATGCCATACGTGCAATCCTTTCACTCTCCAGGTAGTCATCGATGATGTCAGCTCTATACGGACATGCATGCGTTATCGTCCATTAAAACAAAAGTAGGGCCAACTGCTGCAGCGAACAATCTCATAATGGGTTCTAGGACTTCATCTCGATACCGAACAGCCTTCAAAGAACACTGTTTAAAGATGTGCAGGTCGGTGCGGTATCCTAATGAAATCTCTGCCCACACCATAATGCTTCCACCTCGGAATGCGTGATGTTTTGGGACTGATTGCGTGTTCGTTGTTCACGCCCTATCCTTATATGCTTGTCATCTGGCTCCAGAGCAAATCTTGACTCATCAGTAAACATGACATTGGCCCAGTCAGACACATTCCAATTAATATGTTCCCGGCACCACTGTAATCGTGCTCCTCTTGATTGGAGAGATTGAGGTACCCGGGCGTACAGTCCACTCATATGTAATCTTCTACGTACAGTAGCTGCAGATATAGCCTTACCAATGGACGCTGTAACCACAGATGTCACACACGTGGAGGTCGCTCTGCGATTTCGCTTGGCTACAATAGCAATATATCCATCTTCCACGGGGTTGTAACCCTTGGGGACCGGCCACGGGCTTTCAGACAACTGTCTGTGTGGTTTCGAATTGTTTCTATAAACGTGAAATTACCAGAATGATGAACGCTGAAGAAAACATCTGTGATTGACCGTCCTGCTTCAATGCACCCCACAGCACGCCAGCACTCATTTGTCTTCTGGAAGTCGTAGAAACAAGTCTTGAAAACAAATTGTACAAAAGTTTTAAACAGCTATCAGTACTTACAACCAATTTCTATAACCCTTCATAAAGCTGGCTTCTTATAAGACTGCCTTTCTTGCATATTTCTTGATATGAAAGCGCGATTGGCTGTTACCTAACACATTTGCATACTTCTATCTACCTCTGCAGCGAATTGCATCCTCTTCAATTCTGATTGCCTTCCGGAAATTAGCATTTTCCTCTCCGTGCTTTTGGAAGTGAGTGTATAATAAATAATTTTTTTATCATATAAACTAAGTCCCATTACCAAGTTTAAGTCATTAAGTAAGACTATATTAAACAATAGCCAAAAAATACTTCTGACTATACAATGCAATTTCCAAAACATTTGCAGCTATTTTTATGCAAACGGCTATTTTAATAACCTTTCACATTAACAGTAACTAATTTTAAAATTAACATAAAACAAGCAGTTTTACAATTAACTACTTTACCTTAGGAGAGGGCATGACGCTGAATGTGTTCATTATTCTGTCAGGATATTCTTCTCGAATTTTAGAAATCAGCAGTGTACCCATACCAGATCCAGTACCACCTCCTAATGAATGAGCTAACTGGAATCCTTGTAAACAATCACAGCTTTCAGCTTCTTTTCGCACAACGTCCAGCACAGTGTCTACGAGTTCAGCTCCTTCTGTGTAATGACCTTTAGCCCAATTATTTCCAGCCCCACTTTGACCTTTGGATCAAAAATAAAACAATTATAAGAATGAGAAAATATTCACATCGGATAAAAGTGAACATCCATATCTTAAGTAATAAATCCATAAATTTAATTTTACTTGCCAAGATCATGTGAATCTTTAATTTTCCAACATGAAATTTTTAATAAAATAAAGTTTTACACGACATGACCTTTGGATCAAGAATAAAACAATTATAAGAATGAGAAGAGATTATTCACATTCTTATATTACTGTTGTAAGTTAAATTAACAAAACAAAGGAAATAAACAATTTTAACCAGAAAATAACAGTATCGCAGAATAAAAATCTTGCATTAAAAAACAAGAAATGTCAAGATGGAAAAAATAGAAAGCAATACTTCACACTTATGATATGGATATTACAATGAAAGAAAAGGTTACTGAAACAAGACTAAATCTACTCTATTTTCCAATGCTTTATTTGTGTTGATAGAGATCGAGCAATTGGCTGAATTCTCCAGATGCATAACATTTTGGCTTAGATACGTCTTAATAAAATAAAAATAATGTCAGTAAAAATGAAGATGACATTACAGATTAAAATTACATTTGCCATCTTGATGTAATGAATACAGATTCTAAAGATGATTCAAAATATGAACTATGTTCGTAGTATGTTAAGTGGCCACAAGGCAAAAAAAGAACAAATTAGTCTGCTAAAATGATTGTAATGGCAAATATCCCAAAGGGCATTTACTAAAATTCAATAAATACTACACAGTTCATTTATTAAAATAATTTTACTCATTACAAGACTATTTCCGATTCCTCTTCATTTTGCTAGCAGCCATATTCTGATATGAACCATTTTCTGAATTATGGTTAAGAACAAGTTTTTAATTGGCATTAGAGACATAAATTGTCAGGTACAGTTGTCGTATACACAGAATTTTAATAAATGAACTTCTGGACAGTTATAATTTAATCCATGTAACTCCTATGCAAATGTGTTTTAAATATAGTATGCGGTATTTAATTATCATTTTAAGATAAGACATGCTGCACAATCTCAATGCCAGGAGGAAAGCTGCTTAACACACTGCTTGGTGATGAAATGTTATTGATGTACGATTGAATATGCCGATGCTGGCAACCTTCACATTTTGTGCTACAGGTGTGCAAACAGTTATTGGAACAGTGAGCATATACATAACCAACTGTATTCAATTTGACAATTAAAAAATTTTAATTTGGCAGATTTCTGCAGATGTTCACATAATATAGCAGTTTTATTAGAATATGACGCATTACCCTTAACGTTCTGAAGAATTACAAGATTTTATACCAAACAACCAGGTATTTTTTATTGGGGATGTTTCAGATACTTAATTACATAAGTTTCCGAGCATGAAAGAATTTAGTGAATGTACTAGCACTTTTTAAAAATAATTTTGAAAATGCAACGGGAAAAAAAAAAAAGCTGTTCTAGATTGATGTACGAAGGCAGGTTACACATCTGAGTCTGAAATGTGGAATCTATGTAAATGAACAATTTGATGGATATAAAAGGCATCATTGAAAATAAGGTAGTGCGAATATGCATGATATATGTAGGGATGCAGGGAAAGATTTATGGTCTAAGCAAATATTTGGAACATTCTACAGACTACAATGTTTTAGTTCAGAAGATGGTTAATTAGGTCTTGTTATGAATGAGGTGAAGGTTTAGGAGCATGCTGTTACTGATTAGTTTGTGTTTTGCAGAGAAATATGCCAGATGGCCAGGATCAGCAAAAGTGTTCCTCAAAGGAATTATTGTTGAATTGGATGAATGTTAAGTTTAGGAAAATGAAATATAGAAGGGGAAACTGGGACACTAGGTCCATGGTGAAGTTGAAAGGGAAATGAAAAATTTTTTTTAAAGAGAAGTTGGGAGACGCTTAAGTACCCACTGAATGCAAATAACTTGGTACTGGCAGGGAAACCACCACAGTACCAGAGTGCTGGAATGCATATGACAGTCTTTTGGACAAGGACATTTTTATTTGCACATAAATCATTAATTTGAATTTTGAAGATCTTAAGACAGGACACAAACCAATTCAACTGAAGTGACTTCTGTGTGCAGCATAACAGGCCCTCTGAAATAACACCCATTACTTGGAGTGTGAATTAGACTCCTATTTGAAATAATAAACGTGGAGAAGGCTCCACAATCATTATATGACAGAAGCTTTTTGGGCATTTCTGTCAAACATTATCCACGGATAGAAAATGATACACCAGAAAACAAAAGTAAGAAACCTCATATTTCCCAAACTGTGTTTTCTGTATGACATGTGCTTTACCATTTTCCTTTTAGGCCCATTTCATTGCAGTGTTTTCAAACTGTGACAAATTGGCAATTTTCAGAATTGCACTAGCAATGGGCTAAAATACATATTTACCTCTTATGGCAGATGAGGCATTTCTTAAGTTCTGCACTAATTGTGATTATCCACAAAACATAATGGCAGCTTGATAAAAATGATTTGGCCATCCATATTTGCATTAGTTATGGGTAGATATACATGTTTAATAACTATAAGTTTTGTCACCTTAGAAATTACCATCAAAATCTTTTAAAACAATTCTATGGATTTTACTTTCAAATGAAAATTACTCTATATTGAGTTAAAACTTTCATGAGACCCAATTATTTGATTTGGGGAAAAAATTCAGTTCCTCAAAATGAATTCAATTTTTCCCTCCCTGATGTAAACTTGTTTAAAACCTTCTTTTTCTCTATTATAACTTCAAATTAGTGATTTTTCCCTCCCTGATGTAAACTTACCTAAAACCTTTCTTCCTATTATAAGTTCAAATTAAAGTATCTCTTTATCTAGTATATGGTTGAATGAATTATAGTTTTGTATGATCAAAATATAACTTATTTCTTTTTACTTCATTTTCATTATTGAATGCAATTTCTTTTCTTTTTTTTTTTAAAGAGAACAGTACATTGACTTTACATTATAAACAAAAACATCAAACACCACTAAAAGGCAAGAATTAAATGTTTCTATTGGCTGCCGATGTAGAAACATTGAGCCTACTTTAATTTTCAAACTATATGAAGCAAAACGAACCCAAATCATTCGGAGCAGGGACTTGGTGGATGAAGGTTCACCGTCGGAGATTGTGCCTGCCTCTCAGATCCGGTTAGCAAGTACGTCGTCTCGTGTGGTTTCCCTGTGAGACCACATGCTCATACGAATCTGATTGCATCAGCATTTTTCAATGCTATTTTGCGGTTGGTATTTTTTGTGAAACGCTTATATGCTTTCACTATTTTATTTGATTATTTTATTTTAGGATTATTTCGCAAAATTTTGATTTTCACCACCACGTGTCTTGCCAAAATTGCCTGATTGCTGGTTTTGCGACTAATACATGCCATATTGCTTATCATTAAGACTAATTGCGCGTTTGAATATTTAATCGGATAATTTAAATATTTTGCGCGTTTGATTTTGGATTATAGGATCGGATAACACACGTAGTTACCCCCAAGCTCTCACTTCAGGTGATTGTCAGGGGCCTCGTGTGTTCTTCGCCTGCACATCCGTCTGTGGAGAAGGCTATCGGGCCAGGCTCCATCCCGGGGTGCAGGACTCCATTTTATGGGCGCTGGATTTTGGATTTTTTGCGTTTATTTCTGCGTAGCGGACCATGGAGAGGCTCGTGGAAATTTACACAAATCAGATTAAGGAGTTGGATAAAATCAGAGACAAAAATGATGGAAAATTATCAGACATTGAAAACACATTTTACAATTTTCTGCTTAGCTCACTTGAGATTGTAAATGCTTTGAAAGAACAAAATAATAGTGTCATTGATAAAACACCTACACCTAACACCGCTAAAAACTTAGATGAAAATAGCAGGGCCAGAAGTCCTATATAAAACTTCATGATGATCCAATCAACAGTACTGAGGAAAAAGCACTTGATCAAGACACAAGTTCAGATGAGGAACCAATTAAACGCCGCAGAGGCGACCAGACCGTGAGAACAAAAATTCACAAACCCATTTGCTAAAAAAGTGAAACTCAGTACGCACACACAAATAATCTCACCGATCATTACAGCTAATCAAGCTAGTAATAGCATAAATGATCATACGCCGATTAATAGTGTGCAAACACAGGCAGAACATAATCAAGATAACGAAACTGATAATAATATGGATACTAACGTTAACGAAACAGAAAATCAGGATAACATAAATAATCAGACGATAACAAATAATGAACCGCACTGAAAGTAATACACAAAATTCAGAGACTAATACGCAAAGAAAACTCCCACCACTAATTCTTAAGGAAAATGTCATGACTTGGGGAAATATCAAAAAATATTTCACACCAAAAAATTCTCATTTATCGGACAAAATCTGAGGAATGATGGCATAAAGGTCATTGCTGGAGATGCTGAAAGTTATAGAGGGCATGGTTAAAGTGCTCAAAGAGCTCAAAGTTGAGCACCACTCCTACATACTGCCTCAAGATAAAAACTTTAAAAGTGGTCATAAATGGACTCACTACTACTTCTGATATAGAGGAAATTAAAACTGAATTAGAGGAATTGAATTACAAAATTATCGAAATTAAACAAATGTCACGACGACGAGGGGGGGAAGTCATTCCACTCCCATTATTTCTTGTTACGCTACCAAAAACTGACGATTCGAAACGAATCTATAATGAATACAAACTCTGCGATATGAAAATCAAAGTAGTGGAGTATAAAGGCAGACAGGGGCCCATACAGTGTTTTCGCTGTCAGGGCTTCAATCATACCCAAGCCGGATGCAATTATGCTCCGAAATGTGTCCGATGTGGCGGGAGGCCATTCAATTAAAGAATGCCCTGACAGAAAAAACCCTGATAAGCCCCTAGTCTGTGCGAACTGCGGGGGACCTCACACATCCAGTTTTAAGGGTTGTGAAAAGTATCCCAAGAACAATAATAGCACAAATAACACTGTCAAAAACAAAACATTCTCAAATATCATAGAAGGAAAAGTTATGCACAAGCCATATCATCAGGACTGTATTCAGAAACTATCAATGAAGCAAAAACAGTTTTTGCTAATCTAGCAGAGCTAGTAAAAATCATTAAAGGCGCTGGCTTTTTACAATTAACACAACAAACAAATCAGACTATTCAAACCAGTCCAGAAACTGCCAAAACACTGACTTTAGATCATGGGTCAATACAGAAATAGTCGGGCCCCTATTCAGTTCATGACCTGGAACACACATAGCGTCCAGAATAAAATTACGGAACTTCATAACTTTTTACTTGTGTATGATATTGATGTTGCACTCATCACAGAAACGTTTGCGACTCCCTGCTACAATACTCTTTTTGCCTCATCAGTGAAGATCGTGATAACGGATATGAAGCAGTTACTGCCTCAGTTTTACTCCCATTTTATGGAGTTGTCTATTTTATTGCAATTATAATAATCCACCGAACAATGTATTGGATATTGACAAATTAGCTGAACTTCTCCCAAATAATAAACAAATCATCCTGGCTGGAGATCTGAATTCAAAACATACTGAATGGGGCTGCCGAAGAACCAACAATAATGGCGAAGTCCTAATCGAGTTTATCAATAACTATCCTATCTATTTCTATGCACCTTCAGTTTATACGTACCTCCCAGAAAACCCTAGAAGAGGAGATATTTTAGACATTGTGCTCACAAATACTGACATTCCAATGTATTTGGATGTTAAAGTTGAACTAACCTCCGACCACGTGCCGGTTATCGCTATTTTGGGCACTAACAAATGCGAAGAAAACAAATTTAAAAACATCACTGACTGGCAGCAGCATTATTACACACAACTGTTAGAAAACCCTCCAATTATTAGCTCACTCAAGAATAAAGAGGATATTGATAATGCGATCGAAATTCTCAACAATAGTATCCTCAGTGCATACAACACTGCTACCAAAAAAATTCCCTATTGATAAAGACAATTTCCGTTTACCCAGAGAAATTAGAGATATGATTAAACAGAGAAACCGTTTGAGAAAAAGGTGGCATATCTCTTGGGAACCCAGGGGTTAAGAAAGAACTTAACAGACTTAATAATATAATCAGTTGCAAGATTCGGAAACATCGGGATGAGGTCTGGAATAATAAAATTGAGAGTTTTAATGAATCTGGAAATGATTTCTGGTCTTTTGCAAAAACCTTAGGCGCAAGCCCCCTTGCAATAAACCAATTTATAGTAATAACAGAATCGCACTTACATACAAGGAAAAAGCCGCCCTTATGGCAGAGCACTTAGAACAACAATTCGTAGGGATACCGTCCGATTAGTCTACTCCCAGGACTTAATGGTAAGAATTTCAAACGGGTCACCTATAAAAGAATTGAACCGCATATGGATAAGCTCCCAATGGAACAATTTGGCTTCCGTAAAAATCTCTCAACGACAAAACAACTTGTTCGTCTGTGTGAATTTATTGGATCTGCTTTATTTAGACATCAAAGCGTCGCCTTACTCATGCTAGACGTGGCGAAAGCTTTCGACCGCGTCTGGCATGAGGGGCTCATTTTCAAGCTCATCACACTTGATTTCAGTAGAGACCTCATCTTACTGATTAACTCTTTCATACGAAACCGCAAATTCTTTGTAAACTTTGGTTATGAACACTCTGAGACCAAATATCTGAAAGCCGGGGTAGCTCAAGGATCTATTCTTGGCCCAATTTTGTATCTCTTTTATGTTTATGATTTACCCAATAGTGCCGATCTCAATACGTACCTCGGATGTTATGCAGATGACACCGCCCTTGCCGTGAAGTCACATAATCAAGATCATGCACTGATTAAACTTCAAGAAAAAATTCCAGCCATAGAAGAATGGTGCGCTAAATGGAGAATTGCGATTAACGGACAAAAATCCCAATTGATAATCATCGGTAAAAAACATTCCAGAATCCCTTTGGAGACAGAAAAATTAATATCTTTAATGAAGAAGTGCCACTTGTTAAAAAGGCTACTTATCTTGGGTAGTTTTTAAATCACAGATTTACCTGGAAAGACCATATTCACAGCATTAAATGGAAGACCTCCTATACTATCAAAAATCTCCTCCCTCTAATAGGTAAAAACTCTAGACTTGATCTCAAAAGGAAACGACACATCTATACTGCAATTATCAGACCAATTTTCTGTTACGCATCACCTGCCTGGGCGACCTACACTCAAAGTGACATGAAAAAACTCCAAATTAACGCAAAACAAACTTCTCAGAATAATTACTAATGCGCACTTTTATGTTTCAAATGAGACCTTACATAGAGACCTACGTATAGACAGAGTTGAAGAGTTCCTTCATAAAATAATAGAAAATTCTTTGAAAAAGCAAAAAATTGTTCCTCATATGAAACACTTCAAAGTATTTGATTACCAGATTTTTGCAGAAGACGCACGTATTCGACCGCTTGCGGCCTTCACCGCTCGAGATTCGAACTTCCCTACATAACTTTATCACGAGTGCAACGTCGCTGTATATATGTATATAGACTTTTTTGCCGTATTTTATTTTATACTCTTTTTCATTTTATTTGTATGTATTTTTATTATTCTAATAAATTGTATTGTTCATCTTATTTGTATAACCTTATTATGATATGTACCTATCACGAACAACAGAACAAGTCTGATTTTCACCCTGTCTTCGCCTCTCCTGGTCCTAGGCTTCGTCTGCATGTTTCTCTAGACTTGTGACGTCATGCTGTCACCCCCTCTTGGCGCATTACTGATGCCTCCTTTCAATCGTCATTGCTTACTACCATCATGCGCCCCTCGGGCCTATGTCTCATGAGCCGAAACATTGCGTAAAAGCAGCGATATGCCAGCAATATTGATGATGAAGCAAAACTTATTGTGTAACAGCATGCATTAATGCCAGCATTTAAACTTTTGTCAAAGCAAATGAAATAGCTGTGTAGCTATTATATATTAAAATTCTACAGTAGTTCTATAAAAATATTAAATTATAAATCATAACATCCATTTTTATGCACTAGATTATAGACAAAGTGTGCTCAGTTCTATGTAAATGAAATCTTACCAAAGATAAAATTATCTGGCCTGAAAAGCTGTCCAAAGGGACCAGATCTGACAGAGTCCATTGTGCCAGGCTCCAGATCCAGAAGAATTGCTCTCGGCACGTATTTTCCGCCTAGCAATTTAAGAATATAACATTTTATCCAACATATTAAAAATTATCAAATAAAACATAGTTTGATCGAAACAGACATGTCTAAATCAAAAGTACAGATTTCATATAGTAAAAAGTAAAATACTGACCTGATGCTTCATTGTAATATACATTTATTCTTTCCAACTGTAAGTCTGAATCACCGTGGTATGAACCGGTTGGATCAATTCCATGTTCATCCGAAATAACTTCCCAGAACTGTCAATAGATAAGACTGCCCATTAATTTAACATACAATTAAAAGCGCTAACAAATAACACAAGTTTAAAGTTAATTACGAAACTCATAAATATAAATGTTATTAAAAATGATACAAGCGTCACCACGCCAACACAACGAACCTGCAAAATCGTAGTTTCGAAACTAATTACGTTCAAAGATTACACGAGTTCGAATTTTACCTAATTCTTTCTTCTAGGCGCATCTTTTTGTGTACGTGATACATCAGGCCAAAACAGCAGAACTGCAGTTTAACCCTGATGTTATTGCCAAGTTTGAAAAATACATGGGACTGAAGCTAATAAATATTATACGAACTAATTCATATTACAAATGCACAAATTTAAGAAATCGGAACATTTCGTGCGAAACCGGACACTTGATCTTATCGGAAATAGTAGTCTCATATTTATTATATCAAAAATATTAATTTCGGGGAGGGAAAAGAACTTTCCTATGCTTTTAAAATTATTATCAGAAATTTAGTCTACCATACGGTATAAAAAGTTTATGTGTACCGTATAATAAGATTAAGCTAAATCTGATATACCAGACCCTATCGGTTCAATATTTTTTAAAGCTTACTTACTCATTTGAATGAAATGACTACGCTTTCTAATTTCATAAACATTGATTAAAAACAATACCGTTCAATGAAAATACATATTAGGTACAAATAAGAGAACAAGAATTATCAAAGACCACACCCAGTTTCCAACGCTTGAAAACTACTGTAAGAATAACGAAAAATTTTTTACATTTAAAAATTTAAGACTAATATTTACCTTGGCTCCTATCTGGTTACCACATTGGCCAGCTTGAACATGAACAATTTCACGCATTTTTGTATTAAAGAAAACTCAACTTCGCACCGATTCTCGGAAAATGTTTCAAGCACCTAAAACACTTCGAAACAGACGCCGCTGTCAGGAAGTGCAATAAAGAGGGAAAGAATAAATCCGGGACTTTCTGGCACGTTTAGCGCTCTGATTGGTTGGTCCGTTCAAACTTCTTTTTCAAACTTCGGGAACTGCACGCAAGCTGATCGCCACAAGGTCAACATGCCTGGGCGATTAAAAGGGTTTCTGCTAGTTCCACATGAGAACTTTCTCATTACCTTCTTAGGAAGTATTTTATTTTATGCGTAAACTGTTTGAATATTATATTGTTTTTCAAGAAGAAACTTTTCATCTCATGTCCAGTTGCATGCGATATTTATTGCTTTAACACTGAATAGAATATATTTCCAGTAGTCCCCTGAAGTTTCAGTCACCGTTGCTTTTGTTTTGTAGACTAATAGTGCTAATTATAAATAAAAATTAAGAATAAAAGCAACTGAATAATATACCGTGTATTAGAATCGAACAGTTTTAAAGTGCTGTTTAACTTTTCAGCCTTTTTTTTTTTTTTTTTTTTTTTTTTTTTTTTTTAGTTGCAGTTTAAATGCAAAGCAGAATAACAATAATAATAATAATAATAAAGAGACGGTTTGTAAAAAAAATAAAAAGGCTTGTAAATTACTTGGTCTTTGCTACCAGAACTGGTGTATCACAGCTAAATTACGGCGTCAGACAAAAAACACAGCAAAGTAAAAATTTAACGAAGTGTATTTTATTACTGATTTCTTTCTGACTTATAAAGTTAACAAAATATGTACGCAGTCTAAAAGGCAGCAAAACGTTATTAAGCGAAAGTTAACTGTTTACTGTGTCAATCATATTACTGCAGTAGGATCATATTTTAGAACCTGAAATTCACATCTCCACTCTTGTACCAAAGCAGATCATGTTGTGCCTTTTAAATCATTAAAAAAAAAAAAAAAAAAAAAAAAAAAAAAAAAAAAATTCTTTAGCCCAAGAGGCATTAGCTCAGAAGGGCTGTTAGTCTCGAAACGGCATTTTGCGTCGAATCACTATAAAGGGCTGTATCACTTTTTAAAATGTTGCTACGAAATATTATCGCCCTGTATTACATTCAGAGAAATTAAATGACGAAGAATCTGAATGAATGTATGCACATTTCTCGCACTGTGTAAAAACAACGATACCTAGAGCCATCGAATTTCGAATAACGTAGTCCTTCACCCTACTATGGGCACCTGAAAGCTCGAATCTTGAATTTCGAATTTGTTGTAGTATCTTTTTCGTATTTTTTAAACTTTAAAGAATTTTTGATTAACAAACGCAACGATTTCAAAGCGAACAGTGGCAACACACTGCGCGAAATAAAATATTTTTATCTCTAGCGCGCGAGACTGTCTATCGAAAATTCTATAGATATGCTATTTTTAAGTATTTTTAGCCCAAAATCTAGCATTGTGGAAAAACATCTAGCATTGTGTCTATGTTTGTTCCTAGCATTGTGGAAAAACAATGGTGCTTTATTTTGAACACATATAGTCCCTCGATCCAAAATGTGCACCTCAAAGATCGAATTTTGCATTTCGAATTTTTTTTGTTTGTTTATTTATTTCATATTTTGTGCAAATTTGACGAATTTTTATGAAGAAACTTAGCGATTTAAAAACAAAGCATTATTACTCTACAAAACGTATATTTCAAATTTAATCAAAACTTCAGCAATTTAAAAGAAATGTGCTGCCCTTGGGAAAAGCGTAACATATTTGTCTTTCAAATTTAATCAATAAACTGGAAAAATTATTTCCATTCTGCTAAACGTAAGATATTTAATCTGTCTGCTACTGATTAATGCAAGTAAAAAATTTAAAAGCAGTAAACGCTGTTCTTCATCACTATTATTATGAATTACTCCTGGGGGCATGAAATTACACTATCTAGACTCATTAAAATTGTTATGCATTTTTTATTTTTTATAGTAGCTATTTTAGGCATCTTTCCACACCAGCCGTTCATTTGAGTATAAAGTGCGACTAAATTCGAAGTAATATATCAATGCAATGCAGCCAATACTTTAAGTCTCGCAGAAATGAGATGACTGTGTTACATACTGCTCGCAGGCTACCGTCCGTGCACTACTGCTTAAGGTATTACAAAATTTCCAAGATTCAAAAACAGAAATATAAATCCTTAGAAATTCTAGAGTTATTGGGTTATTTTGAAGCAGCAGAAATGAAAAATGTGCAATGCCCTCGCTGGGGCTCGAACTTGGAACTCTCGAAGACGCGCTAAGTGTGCTACCGTTATACCACGAAGGCATACTGGAAGGAGGGAAAAAAATACCATGTAAAATAAAGGTAAAAAGTTGCAAGGATAATACGGGGGATATTTTTTACACATTATAAGAAGGGCTGCACGTAAAAATGTGATGTTTTAGTAAAAGAGGCTAAGAAAATTTATGCAAACTTTTCGGGGTAATATATTTCAAATACAGAAATTTAATATGTACATAACAGAAAATCTTCTAAAAATGAAAGTCTAACGGCTTCATAATCACCACTGCCTTCATTATCTTTTTTCTCCAGGCAGCAAGCTATCGATTATCCATTTGTTCCACGCAGAATTCTATGAGAGCTCTAACAGCTTTTCATTAGAAATCCATCGTCCCTCAGAAGGAAGTGTGATTAGTGACTCTGAACTGCCGTACTGAAGGGCCCGGTTTCGAATCCCGGAGAAGGCATGGATGTTTGTAAATGTATAGTTTCGTTTGCGGCATAGGGACACTCCAAATAAATGGCGAAAGGTGGGAGTCTCGCACCCCCACCGGGATGCTTTCCCTCAAAATTCAGGTGAAAAGTCCAACTCTATGAGGCTCGGTCAGCCATTCTTCTATGAAATATGGCCTCGATAACAACATCAACATTAGGAAGCCATCTTTTCAATAAGAACTATGGAAGTACTTGTGATAGTTAAACGTTAGTATGTTCCATGCAAGCTATTCTTAGAAGCTTTTTTTAATAAAATGCTTAACTCCGAATGAGAAGATTTTAATGAAAAGTTGATTCTGGACGCAAAACTGCTTGATTCATCGAGTCAACGAATTTTTGTTAATGAGCGTGACAAGAGACAGTGTGTTGCGTTTAATATGTAAGAAAGCATCTTTGAAGCTAAGAAACTTAATATCAAGAAACAAAATTCTGCGGAACATACCAGCAAAATGAAGAAATCTTCAAAGCGGCCACTTTTTCATTTGAATTTGTGAAAGACGCACAGCCATCAATTTGTTACTATTGTATTAAGTCTTTATAAAAGGAAGTAGATGGTAAAGAGAATGAATATTTTACATTAAAAGAATGAAATCTAGATCTTGCCAATTTAATAACGTAATATTGAACGTAAGCACGATATAAACAATATAACTCAAATCATAATATTCACGCAAGAAATACACCGTAGCCTTTAATACGAATGATAATAATCGAATAAGGAATAAGGAATTATTCGAAAGATGATAATTATAATCGAATAAGGAAGTATTCGATCTAGATCTACAGTCGAGGGAAATACTTTCAATGGCTTAAAATGAATTAAATTTTAACATTTCGAAAGGGAAATTTTTGAAGAATTGCAACAAATGGAAGCCTAGTAATTCTAGGTAAATGTAACAGATTTGAAAGTGTAATGTTGAAACCAATCCTTAATGATATCATGACATATTATTAAGTCATTCACCAAAAGTAACTCAATGAAAGCCCCTGGATATGTAAAGCACTATGCTCACAATCAAAGTTTTAATTCCTAGTTGATTCAATCATAGATAACTGAAGGTTTTCTAGCAGAATTAGGATCATTCGACGGTGGTGTAGTTTACTTCAACCGCATTCTATGTAACTGATGTTGCACTGACAAGATTCTGGATATTGTTTTAAGAAATAAAAACTTTCTTTAAAACAAAATGAAAAGATTCTTTATGAATGATAATGGATGATTGAATGATTTAGCATTCCTAGTAGATACCAGTAAGAACCTAATGAATTTACCTTAGATCTTATGGATTTGTCAAAATAACAGGTTTTCTCTTTTGGTAGAAACAGTTGTACGTTAATAGTAGTTCTAATATTAAATGTGCAATTAATACAAAGAGGAATCAGTTTATCCATACATTCTATAATCTCGTTTAACCTTTTATGCCAAAGTTTGGGCTTGAGAAATAATTAATGATGGATGATGTCTTTCACTTGACTGTTTTATCAACAAGGGTGCCCTTCACGGTGCCCTAAAAGTATTCTGAAATGATTTAAAAATTTCTAATGAATTCATGACACGATTTTCAGATTTCAGCTGCTCATGTACGTAAAATGAAATTACTTTCATATGAATTTGAAATCCAAAACGAAAGGTATTTGGAAAGTCTGTACACACTAACATGATTACTATGTAGAGATTTTTTCAGAAGGAGAAATGCGAAAAAAAAGTTCTTTCATTTAGAGTTTACCAATCAAACTTCACTTCATCCAGTTGCTCAGTTGCTAAGCAGATGTCCTGTCACTGTTCCAGAGAGTAATAATAAAAAAATCCTATAATTCCTTACAGCCTAATGCCCCTGTTAAATCCGAGATGGAAATAATCGAGATCTAAAATGACTCCAACCTAAGGAAAACTTTCGTAAAGTGCATTCTCGATGATTCTTATCCAAATAGCTCAAAATTCTTATCCAAAAGCCCTTCGACTGAGTTCGTCATTCGATAGCTATTTTTAAAAGAAAACAATGAAAAGTATCTTATATTCGGTGATTATCTTAACAGAATTCTCAATTTCAATACATCAAGCGTAAGGATAGAGATTGAGAGGGAGAGGGGGAGATCAGATCTCACGTTAATTTAGCTTCAGAAATGGCAGTCTAAAATAAAGTATTAAGGAAAATGTTTTTATTACATCATTATTAGGGTATAAATTTTTAATGTCTAAGTTAAAATTCGTTTCTAATTTTTTTACTTTTATTGTAGTTAAAGGGACAATTAAATTATTAATTGTTCTATAACTATCGATGCTCCCATTTGGCCTATCAAATTGCTTTACGGTATTT